TCTTCAAAATTCAGATCATCCTGGTATGGTTTTAGTTACTTCAGTATTGCAGGAAGAAATTATCTAAGTTGGAGTAGATCTATCATCATAGCTTTAGGAGCTAAGATGAAATTGGGTTTCATTGATGGAAAGTGTAATAAACCCACAGAAAATGTATCTAAAATCGAGCAGTGGATTCGAGTAGACTGTATGGTTAGGTCATGGTTGTTGAATTCTATTGCAAAAGACATTGTTGAAGCCTTCATCTATACCAAATCAGCTAAGGATTTATGGTTCGAATTGAAGGAGAGATATGGTGAGTGCAATGGCCCAATGTTATATCAGATACAAAGAGAAATCAGTAGCATTTCACAAGGAGTTTTGACAGATGAAAAGTATTACACCAAACTTAAAAAACTATGGGATGAATTGACGTGTCTAATGCCAATACCTACCTGCACTTGTTCAGCATCAAAGGAAATCTCAGATCTGACTGCTTCCAATCAGCTAATGCAGTTTCTAATTGGATTAAATGATACATTTGATCATATAAGAAATCAAGTGTTGGTCATGGATCCACTCCCTTCTGTCAATAAAGCATATTCCATGGTGTTAAGCGTTGAAAAACACAGAGAGGTACACAATATTTTCCTCGATTCAAATGATAATATAGCTATGTTAGTTAAGTCCATGGATTACAGGAGAGAGACTGTGAGATATGGTGCAGGCAGAGGAAATTATAAAAGGCTTGGGAATGAGAAAGAACTATATCACTGTGATCACTGCGATATGAAAGGTCATACAAGAGATGGATGCTTCAAGTTGATAGGGTATCCAGATTGGTATAAGATGCGAAAGGAACAGAGGCCTAGGAGTTTTGGAGATGGACGATTTTCTGTTAATATGATCGATACACCTTTGGATTTTGAGGATGATAAAGCTTATCAGAACAGGAAAGTGGATATGGCGATATCCTCAGATTTAGCTAATCTGGTTACACAGGAAGTACTGAAAGCACTGAGAGGAAAGAAGCTAATGGATATAGAAAATAAGGTGAACTTTACATACATTACGGAGTATGTAGGTATGACTTCACATTATTCCTTTTTAGCTGTTTCTGATCGTGTGAAACCAGGGACCTAGATCATTGATACAGGAGCCAGTAATCACATTTGCACATACTTGAATCTATGACATAATTAACCCATGTAACACAACCCACTCTTATTTGCCTACCTGATGGAACAAATAAGTCAATAAAGCACATCGGTAATGTTGAATTACACCCCAAATTACATCTAACGGATACTTTATATGTCCCTAGTTTCAAGTTCAACCTCCTGTCAGTACCAAAGATCACCCATTCAAAAGGACTAAAATTAACCTTTTATCCTGATTCTTGTTTATTTTAGGACCTGCAGAATGAAAAAGTGTTGGCAGTTGGCAAGCTTGTAGGGAAGTTATATTTATTAGATGAGTCTAGCTTTATTTTCGAAGAAAATAGAAGTAGAGATAAATTGATAGATCAATCTGAATTTCCTAAGTGTACTGCTTCATGTAATCAGTTTTTTGACATCAATAAAATTTCTGATTCCTCATCCATTGATCGTTTTCTTGAATAGCATAACAGACTTGGGCATATATCCTATCATGCTATGCAATATTTAGATTTCCTTAAACATCTCCCAAAGAAATTTGATATCCTTAAATAATGTGAAGTTTGTCACAAGGCTAAACAGCAAAGGAGCTCTTTTCCTATCAGCACCATTCATACTCAATCCATTTTTGACCTTATACATGTTGATCTTTGGGGCCATATAAAAAAATTTCACTCACTGCCACTCCCTATATGCTCACTATAGTTGATGATTACAGTCGATCCACTTGGACCTTCATTTTAGTGCATAAGACACAAGTTACAAAAACCTTGGATAATTTCTTTAGAATGGTTGAGACACAGTTCAATAAGAGGGTCAAATGTATACGGACAACATACTCAAAATGATTGGGATTATTCACCATAGAAGGTGGTAGAACGAAAACATAAACACTTACTCCAAATTGCTAGATCATGTTCCAAGCGTGTTTACCAAAAAAATTATGGCCATACTACTTGTTTATGGCAACATTCATTATAAACAGACTTCCTGCCCAGATTTTACAATGGAAAACTCCTTTTGAGAAGTTATTTGGACACAAACCCGACTATTCTTTGTTTAAAACCTTTGGTTCCTTGTGTTACATTGCGAATACCAAACCACATAAAACCAAGTTTGAGTCCAGGTCTCAAAAATGTATCTTCCTTAGATATAATCCTGGTCAAAAGGGGTTTAAGGTGTTTGATGTCGACACCAAACAGATACATGTCTCTAGAGATATTGAATTTTTCGAGTCAATTTTCCCTTTTAAACATGATCACTCAGTTGACTCCCAACCTTCCTTACCTTTATTTCAGGATTCTGATGATGATCAAAATATGGACAATTCACAAAATAATGCTGGTCCTGCTCCTTTGCCTATTTTACCTCCTGCAGACACTCAACTAGACATTTTATTTCTCCCTGATGTTTCCTCTAACTCTATTCCCCTCATTCAGGTGCCTTTCCCTGAGACTCAGTCCATCTCTGAAACTTCTTTTGAACCTTCACCTCACCTTGAATCACCTGTTCCATTTCTTAGACAGTGTGCTAGAACTAAATCCCAACCATCTTGGTTATAGGACTACATCACCAATGTTACTACCACGCAGGCTTTGCCAATTGTTGATATTGTTTCATGCTGCAAGAGGGTCTCTCCACCACATAATGGGTATACTCCACCTACTTTTCCCTTTGTTATCTCCCCCCAACTTCAACCTTCATATAGTACATTTCTGGCAAATGTATCAATTGTTCAGGAACATGATTCATACAGTCAAGCCAGCAAAAGTGAGGAATGGACTAAAGCTATGCAACACGAACTCGATGCACTGGAGACTAATCAAACTTGGGAGTTAATAACACTTCCACCTAACAAGCAAGCTATTGGATCAAGGTGGGTATACAAAATTAAATTTCATGCAGATGGTACAGTGGATAGGTAGAAGGCTAGGCTTGTTGCAAAAAGGTACCATCAAATGCAAGGAGTAGATTACTTTGACAATTTTTCGCATGTCGCTAAACTTGTTATAGTTAGAATTTTAATGGCACTTGTGGCTGGGAAAGGTTGGCCTCTTCACCAATTGGATATAAACAATACTTTCCTTCATGGTTTTTTGGAATATGAGGTTTATATGAAGCCTCCTGAGGGTTACAACAAGGCAACAGCAGGGCAGGTCTGTAAACTCAAGCGGAGTTTTATTGGCTTAAAGCAGGCCTCGCGACAGTGGAATACAGAATTATGTCTTAAGCTTTAGGGTTTTGGTTTCCATCAATCATCCCATGATCATTGTTTATTTACTAAACATTTTTCTCAAAAAACTCTTTTTCTACTGGTGTATGTTGATGATGTCCTTATCACTGGTTCGAACAAAGAGGATATCATCGAAACAAAGAATTTCTTACATCATTCATTCACCATCAAGGATCTAGGCTATGCAAAGTACTTCTTGGGATTGGAAATTGCACGGAATGCAGATGGAATGTATATTAATCAGAGGAAATACATTATCGATCTCATACAGGACGCAGGTCTCATTGGAGCCAAATCAGTATCGGTACCTTTGCCTAAGGGCACAAAGTTAGTGGCACAGGCAGATTCCTTGATGTCTGATCCTGAGAAGTACAGATGCTTGATTGGGCGTCTTCTTTATTTGAAATTGACTAGGCCTGATATTACTTATGGGGTTCAACAATTGAGTCAATTCGTTCATGCTCCATGTCAAGTACATTGGGAAACTGCTTTACATTTACTTAAATACCTCAAAGGTTGTCCTTCTAAGGGACTTTTCTTTCCTGCTCAAAACTCCTTCATGTTGGAGGCATATTCCAATGCGGATTGGGGCTCATGTCTTGATACCAGAAAATCGCTCACAGGTTATTGCATTTTTATGGGACCAGCCTTGGTATCTTGGAAAACAAAAAAACAAGCAACTGTGTCCTATTCTTCTGCTGAGGTAGAATATAGGAGTATGGGAAGCACTGTTTGTGAATTACAATGAATTTCCTACATCTTCAAGGATCTTCACATTCCCATATTGGCGCCCATTTCATTGTGGTACGATAACATGGCTGCCTTGCATATTATTGCTAATCCCGTTTTTCATGAACGGACCAAACTTCTAGACATTGATTGCCATGTCGTCAGGAATCAATTTAAGTCTGGTTTCATCCTCCCGAAATTTGTTCCTTCCAGCCTTCAGTTTGCAGTCCTATTTACCAAGCCTCTTGCTCATCCTCAATTTGCTCTTCTTTTCTCCAAGTTGGGATTGGGAGATTTACAACAATTCCAACTTGAGGGGGGATGAAGGAATAATGAAGAAGTGAAAGTGAAGAAGTCCAGCTGAAAAGCATCCGTTAGAAGGAAGAAGAATACTTTTAGCTTTCAGCAATAGTCTATAGTTGTGTTTTCATATTACGTTTTTTTCTTTTCCCTTTTATTCCTTTTCTGTTAGTACCGTTTTTATCCTGATGAGTTTTCAGCCTTTTATTGGACAATGGTTTTTTCCCTTGCGTCTATATATATCACAATGCTTTCCTTTTGTGTAATTCGATTAATTCAATAAAATCCTTTCCTCTAAATATTCTTCAGCTACTTTTGCTCAAAATCACTTCGGATTCTACAAGAGCCCCTTATTTGCTAAGGGTACCGATACCCTCACTAAAGTGTTTGGGGGAACTCTAAGTGCCACCTAATATAAAGAATTATCTATATAATTAATTCTTATTGCTTTGATAAAATTTCTCTCAATGTACTCAAGAAGGAAGTTAAGTTCTTTTAACATCCCTTATTGAAAGACTAAAAGTTCTATTTCTTCTATGTTTGTCCAAGAATTTGAGTTTTCTTCACAAAATGCAGAATGCAAAGAGTGAATTTCCACGGATTCAAGTTGGATGGGATCTTGCTAGTCCAATGGAATACACTTGACTAATAATAACACAACCGTAGCTAGCCGATGCTCCTCCGTACGTGGTGGCGCCAATGTTGAATGACCACAATATTGCCCCCATCCTGGCATCCACAGTACAGACTAAACCACCAGGTGAAACTTAGCTTCAAAAAGGATTCCATTAACTATGGTCACCTGCCATGGGTAGTGTCATTGCTCGAATTTTCCGTGCTCCAGAGGATTTCCCCGGTATCTGCGTCCAACGGCGCCAATCCACCAGCAGTGGTTGTTCGGGATGGTTGGAGGGTGAAGGGAAGGTTATTGCCGTTGACAATATTTGTGTATAAGCGTGGTGGCTGCATCCCACACTCCATTCAAACTTCCTGGCTTTGCTTTCTACAACAAATCATGATGAAAAATCCATTTGAGTGATACATCAACTTAAGTGAAATTGCAGCTCCCTCAAGATCCTATATATAGTAGATACATGTTAATGACACTGGTCTCTTTGCTAAAAAAAAAAAATAGTAATTATACCCACTAGTCCCATGATTAGGCCAATTTATGATTAAGTGGATGTGAACAATTTCATTAGGTTCCACATCATTCAACCAAGTATAAGAAGATACAGTACCTTGCATCAAGGTGCTACAATTATTTAAATAAATCAAAAAGATATTTAGACATGTTTAGTGTGTTGAAACTAATTGAAAATTACCAAATATGTCATATGTTTCTAACTATTCTAATTCATGGTAACAAATTGAAATTATGAGGTGTCGCATTGGATACCACTCAAATGTTCATATATTACCAATTGAACGACTTTTAAGTTATCGAATGGTTGTTAGTAATCCGTTTTTAATTTTGACCCTGTGCGGAATTAATCAATTAAAAGTAATAAGTCACTTTCAATTGTTTCTAGATAATTAAGCATACAAGTCCAATTATCCTATGTTGAATTGCCGCAATAATAAACACCAATATGATGACGGAGAAACCCCAATTGGGTAAAAACTCTGGGACCAAGCCAGTTACCTCCACTATAGACAATACGTAGTGAGTTACGGTCAGATGCTATCTAGCCAACTCCACTAGACTTCCCGATTTATTTCCTACTAACTCCAAGGTCTGCTCCACGATCTTCTGCAATTGTCTCTTCCAGTGGAATTCCAAGAACCTGCTCCAAGGCCTTGTGCTCTTCCTACACTTGCAATCCAACTTTTCTCAGCCTACAGTAGCCTTTGAAGTTCAACTGAGAAAGTACTTTCCTATGACCAATATGAAGTAGGTGGTGTTTCGGATTCAATTGGTTTGATTTTTTCCCAAATATGTGGTTGTATAAAATCAAGAGCGAAATAATGAAATCAATGTATGAATAGGCTCTTGAATATGTTATAGAGAAGAGACACAAACAACCACCCTTATTTTCGTGCATAGGCTTGGGTATTTATAGGAGAGGGTGATTAGGTTGAATGGGCCGGAAAAAATACTTCAAAACAGCAAAATAGGATTTTCCGGATCAACTTGTCGCTCGACCGAGAAGCTGGCGACTGGTCAGCGACACACTGTCACTCGAACGAAAACTCGACGACGGCGAGCGACGGGCATTCTGTTTTTGTCGCTTGAGCACCAACTTGACTCTTACAACACGTTGCAAATTATTCATTTTGTCCACAAAATTGCCAACACTAAAAACCTAACACAAATAATTCGAAAAACTTGCTTTGAGCCAAACAATATCACTGTTGTCGCGATCCAAAGCCCACACAAAGCCACTTTTCTGCATCGCCACAACGACTTCACGCAATCTTCTCCTCGACCTTATAGCAAGCAGCATTAGTGCCTCTCTAAATCAGCATCCAATCAACTGATCTAGTTGATTTGGAGGTGTCGTTTGATTTCTCTGCTCCGCCTAACACCAAAGGACGTCCCACAGAGCTTGGTATAGATTGTGTGCTCTGGCATACACAAGGCCTTTGGCTATGTCACGGGAGGAGTTGCTCCCCATATCGCCGCCCCAACGAATATGCCACCATTGTCCAGCCGGGTGTATATTTCAATATATTTCCATTTCGTATGTCTACCTTTAAGTGAAGATACTCCCACATAGAATGCTCTAAGAAAAAGGAAAAACAATGTTGTTATAAAAATCATTTGAATCTTGTTGTACATCAAAATTAAGGCAATTGACAAATAAGTTCCACAGAAACAAAAATGGAAAAAAAAAATACAAAACAACTTATATTTTAAAACAAATAAGACAAAAAAAAGTTGTGGCAATATTTTTGAAAAACATATTACTTAATCATTATGATCATTCAAGATTAAGCTTTAAGAAAACTGTTTAGCATTAATTAGATATTAAAATAATACCATCAGTCTAAATTAAATTTTAATTTTATGCACAATGATGCCTGAAAAAATATTTATAATTTCATTGAATAAACATCCTTATGACTTGTTAATTTCTTGGTGAAAAGCTTACACCCGCTGTAAGTGTGAAAGCTAGTAAGGACCACCCCACATTTATTTATTTTTGTTCAAAGTACTTCGAATTTTTTTTGAAACTAAAATACCCTTCTTAGATTTTCAAATACATATTTTAGAGCTTTGATATTTGAAACATGCCCAGAGACTATTTTTTATATTAATCTCTCTCCTACATAAATTGTTGTCCATCACTCAATATAACATTATTCTTAGTTTTTTTGTCGGTATTAACATAAAGCGTGGATGAATGGTAAGGCAAAAATTCAAGCTTTACAAACCTAGACGGTCTGAGCGTAATAAAATGCTTTCTTATTTTTAATATTATTTTATTTTCTTAAAACTATTAAATAGAGAAAATAATTCTTTCCAAACATTCAAAATCATAAATATAGTGATTACTTAATAATTCATACAACTGTACAAGTTCCAAGAATTAGAACATTGTTTTAGATGTTCATATTACAAATGTAATGCGTTAAAATATAACATTTTGGACTTGATGAAAAAATGTAGTAACTAAAATATTGTTTGTACTAACTTAAGACAATTCCTGAAAATTCCACCTGTATCCAGAAAATTGAAAAATATTATCAAAAAGATTTTTTGGAATATGAGAAAATATACGGTTATTGAAAATAAAAGAAGGTAAACCTGCTGGAATAGGCAGGGAAGAAGATGAACATTTTATTCAATCAACTTGAGATTACAATGCATACAAGAGGAGTATTTATAGAGTAAAATGGCTAACTAATCTATCAACTAAACTAACTAACTAACTAATATGATAACTAAATCACAGCTGGAAGCATGTGCTGGAGAAGATGGACGAACAGGATCAGCTCAGGTTTGGATTAGGATCCGTGTGATGTGTTTCTTTATTCTAATAACGGTGAAACAGGCGTTTACGTCTCTACAATTTAGATTTTGCCCTCTAATTTACATCATTGATCATCCAATAATTGAGTATAGTCATGTAGCATTAAATGTAAACTATGAACATACGACAATTTAAAGTTTCATTTTGTGAGAAACATGGTTAAGAAAGGCCTGATTAGTCCGGTAAAAATTCCTACTGAATTCAATGCATCTTATCTTGGAACCAAGGTACCGTCTTTAAATAAATTCAAAAACTGCTTGAAGATTCTAAATACCACTTGAAAGGTTGTGAATTTAGAATATCATGCTATATTGTTTTAAATGTTTACTAACTTTGTTTTTTTGTTCTTTTTACAAGTAAATAAGAGCAAATGAAACAAGTTGATGTCTAGATGCACTAGTTAATGCCAAGAATAGTTCAGCAAGGTCGAGATTGTTATGTTTGGGCTGCCTTACTATTATTGGACTCGAGCTGTTAGTATTGGACTTCCGGGTTATAACTTGATAAGTCGTGTTTTGTGAAAATGCAATTTTTGCCTCATTAATGGTGTGATCTGGCCGTATACATGACCATCCCCCAACTTTGGGATCTGTGTGACTCTTGGGTTGATACTTTTAGCATCATAATTCTCTATGCCTCGGTGTTGGTTGATATTCTGAATGACTTTCTAGAGTTTTCTCTATGAATTCTATACTCTTCTTCGTGTTTGTAATCTTTTTGTGAGATGTTCTTCGTTGCATTTAGTGTAGAATCTGAGAGATTGTGAGGAGTGTACTTTGTTGCAATAATAAAGAGGCCAGAGAAAACTTTTAGTGTAGAAATCTCTTCACACATTCTGTAACTATTCTTTGTTGATTCTAGTGGATCTAAGACTATATCTACTTGTAGATGTTCAACGGGTTATTAGACCAAAAGCTGAACATCTGGACCCCTTAGTGGCAAAAAAAATTCTCTTCTTTTTGTTTTTTATTTCTGTGATTTCTGTTCTTGCAAACATTTGTTTAAACTGGGTTATGCAAACTGGTTTTGGGTCCAACAGTACTTTATCGTCATCAAGATTGAAAATAGTTGATAATAAAAATATAAATATGAAAAAAAAAAAAAAACCTAATTTAAAACAAGTTAATCATTCTCAACAAACACTGAAATAAAAAATAAAAGTACCAATATGTACTACCCAGCAATTTACATATATTTCTTGACATTTTATAAAAAAAAAATTCATAGTTTAACTAATATTAAAAAAAAAAAAAACAGCTACTAATTACAGAGAACAACATTTAGATTGTCAAGGCTGACAATTCAAAATTACACTATAGAGGTGATCTATCGAGGCCAAAATCAACTTCTGCTCTATGGAGTTTCATCAATCCAGCCTTCAAAATTTCACTCTACACAACCCAACTGAACAGACCAACCCATTATCCACATTCATGCGATCCAGAAATATTTCAACCTTTAAAGACATTATGTTACCTGATTGATGAGTGTGTTTGCGCCCCGAATTTTATACCAAAATAACTTAATTATATGCCAAATTTTTATGGTTATAGAGCGTTTTTAACGTGTGTGCTAGTGTTGTTTTGAAGGTGTGGTGATTAGGTAAAAATGGAGGTATTGAAGCAAGCCAAGGAAAATTTGACAGCAAATTGGCGCCCTAGCGCCGAAAAAAGAGGGAAAGCAAAAATAGGCAGCAAGGCAGCGCCTGCCTACGCAACGTCCAGGTGCCATGAAGGCAACTCCTGGGTTAGGCGCCGCGCCGCACCAAAAAATTTTTTATTAAATTGGGCCGCAAGAAACCCATTAAAAGACTCCAAATTGGCCAAAGACGTGAGAGGAGTATAAATAGACAAGAAGAGGCACGAAATAGGGAAGGAAAAACTTTGCAAAATAGAAAGAAAAACACAAGATTGAAGAAGAAATTCATCACGGATTCGAGTTCAAATCAAAGTTTGGAAGCGAAAGAAGATCTTGGTGCAAGAGCTTATTTTATTCCATATTTTT